AGGGCGCGGCTATCAGGCATAATTGTTTGAATGAATAAATAAATGAACGAATGAATGCGGATGAATGTTTTAAATGACGTTTCTTCGCTGTTTGGCCAATCAGAAACTGAATCTGAGAGGCAGACTGGAGAGTTGTAAAGCCAATGAATTTCAGTCACGCAAAGTTATCTGCTGTTTAATTGGCTGAGAAGTTTGCGTAACGAACGATGGTACTGGCAGTGGATTTCAAAGACTTGGACGATCCTTGTTTTTTTCCAAGGTAGGTTCTAGTCAAGACCGACCGCTTTGTTTCTTTCATGAGTGGTTTGCGGAACTAGCTTTTGAGCTGGGCATAAAAAAAAAATATTTTCTCTGTTGTCGTCGATTATGTTCCGTTTGCCTTTTGAGGCTGTGTTCTTCCAACTGGTGGCGCTACCCTGTTTGAATTCCCACCAAATTTACTGACAATCCTTTTGAATTCAGTTTTAAATTCTCGATTAAAGAATGCATACACGATCGGATTGACAGCGCTGTTGACTCCGACCATGTACGAATAAAGCTGGTAAATTTGTCGAGGGAAAACGTATTGCCCTGTAAACATTTCGGTAGTGTCAACAACTAACAAGGGAAGCCAACAAAATACATAAACAACAACGACAGCGAACAGAAGTTTTGTCACGCTCACATCTTTTGAGGAAATCTTTGGAGAAGTTGGATCTCTGTTATTTAGATTTGCATTGTGTTTGCGAATCGTCAGAAAAATTCTGAGATAACTGAAGGCGATGACGGTGAAGGTGACGATAGCGAAAGTTATGTTCACAGCCAGTCCTTCCGCGAGTGTCACTTGATCGAGGTCGTAAATACAGCAAAATTTGCCAGGATGGTACCTGAAGATCCCTATCACAAGAAAGTACACTGGCCACGCCAAGGCAATTAGCCAAGCCATCGTCAAAGAGATTAACACGGGCTTCAATTTGAAATAAGCTCTGTATTGGTTAGGGCGCACAACTTTGAAATAACGATTTACTGAAGTTAATGTCAAAATAAGAAGGGAAGCTGATCCTAGCGTTGTCGCAGTATATCCATGATACAAACACGAGCCTTTGTTGAAAGGCCAGTGGCCTGCGATCAAGACGCTGAGAGACAGTGGCATTACAAGAATTGACATGAGCACATCGGTTAATGCTAAAGCCGTGACGTAGTAGTTTGGCGTAGTGCGCAGCCGTGGATTACATTTAACCGCCCATAGAACCAGTGAGTTGCCTAAAAACGCCATCAACATCACTAAAACCAGTGGAAAGCTTTCCAGCGTCGTTTGCAGAGGTCCTCTTTGTGCAAACTCGCGAGCCATTTGTAAGGCTTCGACTGTATTTCCATCACGATTAAGCATTGTACTGTTCGTTCTTTGCTGTTAATTGGAATTCGTTGTTGGAGTAATCTCAACAGTGAAACTAAAGAAGAGGGTCACGTGATTATTATTGCGCTGTTTGATACAGCATTGAGAAATGAAAATGGAATTAAATGGAAAACTCTGTTAGATCGAACTGTCTAATATATGACAGTTATATATACCTATACATGTAATTCAATGCTTTCAACTTAGGACAGGAAGGTGGCGATATTATGGTTCACACGAAACGATTAATTATAAAACTT